TCTCTCTCTCTCTCTCTCTCTCTCTCTCTCTCTCTCTCTCTCTCTCTCTCTCTGTGTGTGTGTGTGTGTGTGTGTGTGTGTGTGTGTGTGTGAGTGTGTGTGTGTGTGTGTGTTTCTATTGTGTGGCTTCCGCGACCGTGTCGCAGCATGTTGCGTCGGAAGGTGTGCTTATAAACAACACTGTGAAAGAGCCCGCAGCCCAGGATGCCCATGGAAAAGAATGCTTATAAAGCCCAGCTTTCAAAAGTCATGAAACGAAAAACAAACCGACCAGTGGTAAGACAAGTACAACAAGACAAACAAAGCGGCAAGGCTGAGGTCAAAACACAACACGGTACTTGGATGACACACCGGAGGAAAGAACAAAGGGTGGAGGGCAAGGGGGAGGCGGGCGGGCAGACAAACAGCACTAGGCAGAAGAATGAGGCGGTGGCAACAAGGCAACAAGACAGACAAAAGAACAAACAGCAAAAAAAACAAAACATGATAGATTGTTTCGTCGGAGTTGCACCGACTCATCAGGAGGCTGAACCCTCGACAATCTGCGGGAATCTCCGTATTAGATGGTTTGGGTCATGAACCCTTTGACCCTTGTTGAAGGCAGACTGTCCCCAAGTGGAACATAGCAGCGGGCGGCGACCCTGTGGAGCACCAGGCAGCACAGTAGAGGCAACACGGCTGCACAACGCCAAAAACGACTGCAAGGAAAGACATGGCACGCAGCACAGAAACACGGAAGGCACGGCCAGAGAATGAGCAGCAAGGCAGCGGAGTAGTGAAGCGCAAGGCAACACCAACAACACAGCCACACCACACAGTGAACACAGCAATATGCAGAGAGCCACATGCGAAGCCAGCAGGACAGGCAGCAAGACGGCAGTGGTGTGCAGACGAGGCAGTCCACACATCCAACACGGAGCAAAGCAGCACATGACCTACTCACATCACGATTGAACCCTGCAGACTGTTGGTTCCCACCCCCCACTGAGCCAGAGAGTCACTCCGACGAGCATCCGTCATCACCTACAGGCAACAGAGACATCCCCAAACTGAGCAGCCCCCATAAGAGTGCAGTAGGCACTCCAAACGAGGAACCACCGACTGTTCGGGACTACTTAAGGGTGCTCAGTTGGGTAAGAGAAAATACTTAGAAAAAGATCAAGGGAGAACAGACAACAACAAGAAAACAAACAAACATCTAACTCTGTGTGTGTGGGTGTGTGGGTGTGTGTATGTGTACCGCGCACTAACCTGGCAAAAGGTGTTGCCTTGATGCAGGTGCGGACGTACCGAAGACGAAGCTGGAACTATGGCGTCACAGGTAACTCGCAGGTAAGTCCCCCTGGCATCCGCCTCCTCTCTCTCTCTCTCTCTCTCTCTCTCTCTCTCTCTCTCTCTCTCTCTCTCTCTCTCTCTCTCTCTCTCTCTCTCTCTCTCTCTGGCTCCAGTGCAACTGCAGCGCCTGAGCTCCTGGCCTCGCGCCCGCCGCTGAAGGCTAATGCTAACTGCGCCTGACGCTGAAGGCTAACGTTAACTGCGCCCAGCACGTCAAGTACTGAAGACTACCTCACCACTACCTGAGTATTCTCCCTACTACTGGGCAGACCAGCTAAAAGTAGTGCTGGTCCGACTGGGAGGCTGCTTCAACCAGTGTGTGGCGGCCAAAACTGAAAGTGGCTGGCGCCTAACCTGGCGCCAAAACTCGAAACAGGCCTGAAACGGCCTGGCACCTACTGAACCGGCATCCAAACGGAAACACAGGGTCTGGATGGCCCGGCACCTAACGGAGTGGCGCCGACACTGACTAGGGGCCTGGCGCTAAACAAAACAATGTGACCAGGCATATCTGCTAAGTCTGGCCTAACTGGGCCTCTGAACGACACTGGGCCTCTAAACTGGTCCCCAGACTACACCTGCCAGTCCCCATACAACTCCTACTCCTACAAGCAGGCCCTGCGGGGCCCGTGTGGAACTGTGAATGCCACACTCCCCCCTCCTTGAAAGACCAAGCCTACCGGTGAGGGCGAAGCTGTCTGTCGGAGGGCCTGACCGAAGTCCGGGTGGGACGGGGAGGTTGTGAAGCCTCCTTTGCTAGTCGTCGCTTCTCGTAGCCAGCGTAGATAAGCGGTGTGGATGCTTCCCAGTCTGCTCGTGAGATCCATCGTGTGTCGCCACGGTCGCATTGCTTGAAAGTAACCTTTGTGATGACCCGCCAAAACATAGACTGAGAACACTGCTGATTTCTGGGATTTGCCGCTGGAATGAATGCCTTGCTGAGATTCCCGCATTCTGCTGTGATTTCTAAGTTTGTGTGTGTGTGCGTGCCTGTCTGAGTGCTTGTCGGCTGAGTGTGTGTGTGACCCGCAAGGGTACTTGTTGGTTGAAACGCCCCTCAGGGCCGGTACTTGCCTGTGGCCGTGACTTTGAGGGTTGCAGCGGGGAAAACACTCAAGTAGCGGGGGTAGGCCCACAACATTTAGAACAGCGGGAAAAATACTCAAGTAGCAGGTAGGCCGGTACCACTCAAGTAGTGGTAGAAGTGTCGGGTACTGGAGGCCGAGCAGAAGAAGACAAAAATTGGCATTTTTAGAGGCCCAGTAGCAGTAGGTTAGAGGTAGGCCGGTACCAGTCCAAGTAGCCTGAGTCTAGGGCCTGTCCGGATGATGGCAGAGCCTGCAATGATGTTTCCCTCCGAAAGGAAGGAGGTACCGGTTGCTGGGAGGCCGCTCGGCCTAGGAAGTCACCGCCCAACAGGCCAGTAGGCCGTAATATCTTCAGGAGGAGCAAGCAGCTCCTCCTCATTTGCGGTATGCAAGGATTGGCGACATGCTGCTGGAGCCAAGCACTGGACTTGGGAAGCGCTGCCTGGAGGAGAAGAGCAGCTGGGCGATCAGCCTGGCTATGGCGAGCAGCCCAGCCTAAGGCGGGGGGAGAAGGAGGCGAAGGAGAAGAGTGGCGAGGTACCTACCTGGCTATGGTGGACACCATCTTCACCACCTTGTTGGGCGCTGCATCTGGAAGGCCCCAGTTGGGGTAATGCCATACCAAGGAAGCTCGAGGCAGAGTCAGGGATGGTGGCTTAGTGAGCAGCGGCATAGCTGCTTTGGGTTGTCCTTTGGACAGGAGTGCAGCGACATAGCTGCTTTGCGTTGTCCTTTGCACATGAGGGCAGAGCCCTCAGTAGTCCGCCATAGCCTAGGCATGTGAGAGGAGGAAGAAGGGGGGAAGCCAGAGCTATGGTGGACCTGTTGTTGTGTCAGCAGTAAGAAGGAACTTGGGATATTGATTCTGGTTCATCCACTCATTGTTATTATTACTATTGGAAGAAGAATAAGATTGGCGAAGTGAAGAAGGAGGAGGAAGGTGGAGAGAGAAGGGGGATTTGTCATTGGTATTGCTGG